ATGTTGATTATTCTGAGCAACCCTTAGAATATTTTTAGATCATGGAAATTCTCAGATCACTGGATCATCTGACGATCTGATAGTATCATATTTGTTTTTTTGTTTCTCTTTCTCTCCTTTTATATATTTGGCTGTTGTGTCAATTCTATATACATTTCCTACACATCAATACTAATATTTCTTGTTTTTCGCTTATATGTTTTCTGCTTCTTTTTTCTTTCTTCTTGTTTCTTTGTTAGATATTGAATATAATCTAGGACTTCTTTTTTTCTTCATTCCATTAAACCATCTTATTTCAACTACTGTTGAAAAATTATTATGACTGCAAACTGTAGTAATTGGATGCTTCTCCACTGTTTTTTGCACTATTTCATTATGAATAAAGATTGCATACTGATAATTCCAAAAATCATGTATGCTTATTACTTTTGGGAATATTAGTAAATGCATAAATATTTACAAAGGCATAGAAGTAGAAAAAAACATAACATTATTTGCAAAAGGTTTGAACCAGTATCTGTATTTGCATTTTACTTTAGTTAAAGGAAATGCACTTTTAACAATGCATGTAATGGCATGGGAGGAGGAAGTGAAAATGGAGAAGATGAATTTAACTATATTTAGTTGACTGAAAGGGAACAGGAGAAAAAGAATTAAAAAAGGTAAATGGCTCTACTCATAATTTGCATTATTTTTTATTTTTTTCTAATTTCTAATGAAATATTTTGTTTTAATTTATTTTTAACATTTTCATTTACCTTTTTCTATTTCCATTTACTCTATTTTTTTTCTGCATTTAATAAATAGACATTCCATATTTATATAAAGAAAAGAAAACCATTAGAAAAGTTGTATTATGCTAAAGGTATTCCGGACTAACCAGAATTACTTTAGATAGAAGACAGCTGGTTCTGGAAAAGAAAAAGAGTTAATAATGTATTTTTAAAAATTTCCTTTCTTTATTTTCAAAAAAAAAAACATCAAATGTACTGTTAAAGAAACATTGATAAATTCTACACAAACAACTGTTGTGTACATCGATGTAAATAAAGAGCACAAACATTTTACACAAAACTTGTACGAAAGGTCAACATAAGAAAAGTGTACCAATGAAAGAATAACCTATGATGGAGTGCATGGTCTCTCTGTCCCAAAGGAGTCTCACTCTTAAACTCCTAATTTCCAACTCTCCATTGTTAAGATAAAAGCTTGAAAGAGAGAGCAAGCTTGGTTGAGATGTTTGGTATTGGTGTTTTCCTGCAAAAAAGAATAACTTTTGTTGGAAGTTACCTCAAACCAAGGTAGCACATTCTGAGAAAACAAAGAAATGTTTGGTATCACATCACGGCTGGGACAAATATTCTTGAAGTTACTAGGTATGTGTTATTGCTTACCGATATCCTCTGTGCTATGTTTG